AAATACAAGGCAAGGGTTTAGGGTTTAGGGTTTAGGGTTTGGGGTTTAGGGTTTAGGGTTTAGGGTTTAGAATGTAGGCAGCTGTTGTGCTTAAGGAGGTGTGGATGTGGTTGCTGCTGCGGTGTCTTTGTTGCGCGCTTGGGGCGGTGTTCGCAGCAGCAGTTTACTGCTGCTGCTGCTGCTGCTGCTGTTGCAGCAGCAGCTTCTGCTGCAGCTGTTGCTGCAGCTACAGCAACTTCTGCTGCTGTTTCTGCTGCTGCTGCTGCTGCTGTATTGTTTGTGTATGAGGGGTTGTTTGTGGGGGGTGTGGGGCCGCAGACTGGGCTGTCTAGGGAGATAGAAGATGAGCTCGCTCTGTACTTTATACAGCTGGACGTTGATAAGCGTGAGGCGAGAGAGAAAGAGAAAAAGAAAAAGAAAAAAAAATAATATTTTTTTTTGTTTTTTGTTTTTGTTTCTTTGTTTTTTTTTTGTTTGTCTTTGTTGTTTTGTCTCCTTTGTTGTTTTGTCTCCTTTCTTCTTTTCTATTCATCTTTGTCTTTGCTTCTTCTCGGTTTTTGTTTTGTTTGTGGTTTTATATTTATTTATTTATTTACTATTATCGTTTATTTATTGTTTATTATATTTATTATATATTGTTTTTGTTTTTTAATTTATAATATATTATTATATAATATTATATATTTGCATTTGTTTGTATTTTTGTTTTTTTTTTTTTTTGTTTTTTCTTCCTCTCCCTTTTCGTCTTCTCCGTATTCCAGTAGCAGCTCATCAGCAGCAGCAGCATCAGCAGCAGCAACAGCAACAGCAGCAACAGCAGCAGCAGCACCAGCAGCAGCAGCACCAGCAGCAGCAGCAGCAGCAGTTTTTTTGTTTTGTGTTTGCATGCGGTGTCTGCAGCAAATGGAGTCCGCCGAAGCGACGCCTTAACACTTGCAGGCAGTGTATGTCTCTTCTTTTTATTTTTTTTTCTTTTTATTTTTTTTTTCTTTCTTTTTGTTTATTCTTTTTGTTTCTTTCTTTTTGTTTCTTTTATTTTTTTTTGGTTTTTTCTTTTTCTTCTTTTTATTTCTTTTTGTTTCTTTCTTTTTGTTTCCTCTTTAGCTCTCTTCGTTTTGTTTTTTTCTTTTTGTTTCTGCTTTGTGCTTTTTCTTTTTGTTTTTTCTTTTTGTCTCTTCTTTCTTCTTTTTGTTTCTTCTTTTCGTTTCTCCTTTTTGTCTCCTTGTTCTTCTCCT